TACATAATTCAGAAGGAAGAGCTTAGATTTTTCATGAGGTACCTGTTGTAATTCCTGGCACACCACTTTGCACTTTTAAAGATGCTGATAACCCAGGGTTAGACATGGAGCTAAGTCTGTGCAAATGTGCAGTTTGCTATACTGTGACTAAGATGGAACCGGCTTTCCAGGTGACTGCTTTCAAATAGAAAACCATGATGGTTTTAGAATGGTAACAGTCATTAGTGGTCCACTTATGAAATTTCACAGTCATGAAACTTTCCAGATCAGGCAGCCAGATCCACAAAACAGAGGGTGTCTGACCAATCCAGAATGTCTCCTCTGTGTAGAGAGGGATCTAATCCTTCTTGTGCTGTATTTAAATGTTGTGAGTGGCTGATTTTTTCTCTCTTCATGGTGTTGGGTAGTATTTCACTAACTTTTTCCCTTTTCCCTCCCTTCTTGGGAGACGTGCCCACCCTCTGAGGACTCTAGGGTCTCCTGGTCCTGATGTGGATTAACAAACTGAAATAAGACATCCTATTTCCATTTTGCATAGTCGATATGACATTTGGAAGGGGGGACTTACAAAGAAACGGCTTCTCACAACCCTCGCACCATTCAAGCTCCACCCATAGTCCCCATCAGCTTGGAGTGCTCCCCAGCCAGCCGCAGGCCTCACTTCAGAGTTCCCATATGGCCCTGCTCTAGCCCTCTTCCCAGGGTGCCCCATGTCACACATGGTTTTCAGAGGAATGAGGAATTTCTGGGCTACAGGTAGCCTTTCTGTCATTGAGAATCCTTTTGGAAAATTCTCCCCTTTCTGTAATCCATGATCAACATCTGAAGGTCCAGCCAAGCACGCCTTCTGATGATGGAAGGAGGACTCGAGGACTCGGAAAGACGGGGTTCAATTCAAAGCTGCACTTGGCCTTGTTGGGCAGAGCCAGAACAGCAGTGGACAAGTTCTCACGGTGTCCAGAAATTAGAGATTCTGTTTGTTTTTCATAAGAGAACGTGACATGTTTTTTTATTATTAAGCATTTTTACAGCAGGAAATGCTGTTCTGTCTCCATCAGCCAGAGTCAGAGCATGCTTGCCTCACCTCTGCCTGAAACATTAGAAATCTCTCTGTGCAAGGCCACTGCAGACCCTCAGTGTGGGATCAATACATGCATACAAAGCTGTTTGCCCATCTTTAGAAAAGATGCTTTCAGGAGCAAGTCATTTAAAAGCCCCTTTCAGAACATAAGGCCATCAGCATGGATGGAAGAATGAACTCAGTTTCTGATGACTTAAAGCATGCACAGACACATATACGCATTCACACGCACATGCACATATACAAACACACATGCACTCACACATGTGAAAGGGAGAAAAATAGACCCCACTAGAACTCTTCATTTAGGGAATTTCCACACTGCCTGTGGTAGGGTTTTAAAGAGTACAGTTATTTCTAATTATGGAACAGTTACACATGTGTAACTGTGATGAACAAAACATAATATAGAAAAAATACTCATTGAAGGGAAAAAGCAAAGATGTAGAAAAAGACATAAACAGATAAGGGAAATTTAATAACACCCATAACTTTTCCTAACCAATGATAATCATCTTTACATTTTAGTATATAATCTTTCAGAACTTTGTATTTACGTCCACATTCACATCCATTACATATAACCTTGCCTAAAAGCTGTTAAATAGGAACTGCAGAGATGGCTCGGTGGTTAAGAGTGCTTGCTGCTCTTGCAGAGGGCCAGAATTCAGTTCCTAGAACCCACACCAGGCAGCTCACAACTGCCTGCAACTCCAGATCCAGGGCATCTGACTCCCTTTTCCGGCTTCCATGTGCACTGCAGTTAAACTTGCACACACGTGCTCATACACATATGCAGATACCCCCATACACATAAGTAAAATAAATCTTTAAAAACTGCCAAATAGGTTATAGTATTTTTTTATAAAGGGAAGAGTTTATTGGGTTTATGGTTCGTATCTTCAAGCAGACACAGGAAGCAGAGAGACAGAAACTGGAGACAGGTGGTGCTTAGGAACCCTCCAAGGCGGCCCCAACGGATGTGCTTCCTCCAGCAAGGCCACATCTACTGAACATCCACAAACAGCGCCACCTGACCAGAGTTCAAACACTGAGCCCATGGGAAACACCTCCTTCAACCACTATGGTATTCAATCATTTTAAAAGGATTAAATTCTGTCTTTTGCAGAAAAATCTATCTTCTTTTCTCCAAATACTAGAAAAGTCTCCAAACTTGGGGACTCGGGGCTTTCGAAGCCTCCCATCCCCATGATATATAAAACTTTTAACATCAAATACATTTATGTGCGTTGTTCACCACTGCACTGAGTGCTCTTCTTGTCTGAGACTTAATCAAAGGACGTAAAGGACAGAGGGAACTTCTGAACAAAACCACAACACGAATGAACCTTGAAGACATTACGCTAAGGGAAATAAGCGAGACCCAAAACCAAACACTGTATGATTCACTTCCATGGGGTCAAAGTCATAGAAATAAAGCAAAACGCTCGTTGCCAAGGGCTGGGGTGAAGGAAGGAGAGCGTCATTGCTAAACAGGCATGGAGTTTCTGTTCACAAGAGGAGAACTCCCAGAGGGGGGTTATACAGCATTGTCATACACTCAACACTACTGGAATCTGAAGTAGTTAAGCTGTAAATTTTATGCTTTACAGCAATTTCTAAAGCAGGAAATTAAAATAATTCTAGTTTTAAAGTCATGAAAATAGCTTTTTAAAATTCATTATGGGGGGCCAGTGAGATACTACTTACTACCAAGCTTCATAACCTGAGTTCAAGTCCCAGAACCCACATAGAGGAAAGAGAGAATGGACTAGGGATTGTAAAGCTGAGCTTTTATTAAATAAATAATTTATTGAGAATGTCATACATGCACATAAGGTGTTTTGATCAAATCCATGCCCACTCCCTCCCCTCCAACTCTTCCCAAATCTCCCCATCACTTTTTTCTGATAACTTCATGTACTCTTTCTTCTTTGATTGATTGATTTTTTATGGGGCTTTTGGCTACTCTACCATTCCCCCTCTGAAGAGGTAACCCTAAAATCTTTTAAGGATTAGATAAAAACTCCCAAATATTTTTGACATTTTTGACCTTTGGAACAGAGTAAGTTGCTAAGAGGCCCAAGGACATGGTGAAGTGATAATTGAAAGCACCAGACTGGTGGAACTAACCTTATTGGATGTTTAACAGCCACAGTTTGAGGCCTATACTAATGTGGTCAGAGGGACTTAAAGGACAGATTTTGCCCCTTGCACTCCAAGGATGACTAACTTCCAGGGGACTATGGAACATCTCTCAAAATGTCCTTTAACTGTGGTGAGTCACCTGTCCTCTTGTTCAGGGAGGACATGGAGACCCCAAAAGATGGACTCGAACCAATGTCCAGTCTACAAAGGGGAGGGTCAACTCAGAGTAAACATCTAATCCATGTTTCCAAGTGAAGCCAGACAGGGTCAAGCAAGACCTTTGACTTATCTTCACATAGATGGAACTGGTAAAAAGAAAGGAGCCAGGGGCTCCTCCGAAGCCCATGTGACCCCTAAAGAACAGATCCTCAAATGACCTTAAGTGTAAAAATAAATTGATTTAACTGTATGGTCTTAAACACCCAAAAGGAAAGTAT